CCCCCCCCCCCCCTCTCTCTCTCTCTCTCTCTCTCTCTCTCTCTCTCTCTCTCTCTACCCACTCTCTTGCAAAATGTATTTATCAGGAGTTCTGAGTGGTGTTTCTATGAGTTTATTTTTAACTGCTGTAAAATTAGCGTTTTGCCTAAACGCGTATTAGTAATCTGCTATAAATAAATATGGAAGTAGTATGAGAAAAATTGCAACTTTACGTTATTATTTGACGTGTGTCAGGAAGTCGGTGGTGTTGACGACCTTTTCCACGAAAAATATTTTTAAAGTATGTTTTAAGGGTGTATTTTGAAGTCGAAGTTGATTCCCTCCTCCCCCATCCCGCTCTACATAGACCTTCGTCCCCGCAGGCTTGCTGGCTCGGGCCCGGCCGTCTTAGGAGTACGCGCCGAGCGAGCAAAGGGTCGGACTGGACCCCCGCCGGACCCGGCCTCATCTCTGAGGTGGAGAAAGCTGGAAATTATTTATCGCCTATTTGCATAGTGCCCGCCGAGCAAGGGGACTCGGGAACGAGACTACTGCGCAGGATGGGGCATCTCTGTCTCTGATTAGAAATGGCTTTGTGGGTGCTCGTGGCGTGGCTTCAGCTTTACTGTGGGGAAAAAAACATAGCCCACTCACTTTTAATTTTGTCACACAGATAAAATATCAGAGATTCAAACAAAGTCTTAAGAAACAGGAGATGTGTCTGGTAAAGATAACCGACCGAAAGGCAAGCAAATGCAACAAACAGTAGCCTACTGCTCCGGTTACCATGGTGTGCTAGTAGAACACAATGTTTTGCTGTTGCACCACTCCCTCAGCTGTGTGTGCAGCCTGTGGACTGTAAATAATTACCTCCCCCGCGACCGTGCCTGCAAAACAAAGTCACACAGCCGCGCCTCTGTTTGTTACAAGTGGAACCCTTTTTTCCTCGGGGGAGAATAATAAAACCCAGAGGGAATGTGGCATTCGATTCGTTGGAAGAGGGTCTCCTCGAGGGGTTCTCAACTGGGCGATCGATTCACTTCGCGGAGAGTAATAACAGTCGAGTGTGGCTCTCAAGGCGCCCCCTCCCCCCCAACCGCCCCGCCCCACCCTGCTCCCTCCATCCCGAAAGTCGACTGGTGCAATCAGCCCTACGGGAAGGAGAGACGATTGAAATGGATGGAAGAAGGAAAATACTATATAGGCGGTTGGATAAGGTGGGGGGTCCCTGTCCCCTGCGGTACACTTGGCGGAAATCTGCATAGGATGACACAGCGGGCGTGCAGCGCCGCCGCGTCGCCGGGGAGGTTCGCGGAAGGGATGCAAACGGGAAAAAGAATGAATTCGTCCTCAGAACTAAATATTAGTTAATTTCGGAACCGAGAAGGGCAACAACTTCTGTTATCATGCTGTGTAGGCCTACACTTGCCTGGGAATCATCAGGATAAAAATCAAAATCAACAGAAAGCGCGTTAACCTAGCGGGGAAAGGAATGGAACTGGTTGAAATTAGTCGAAATAAGCCTTTTCTACTCCAATAAAACCTAAGGAATAAATATAAGCGGGTGGGAATCACTAGGAATCAAGTATTTCGGGAATCATGTGCACACATCAAAAGGTAGTTATTGTCCCCTCGTTCGTGACAATCGATCAAAAAATGGTTAAGTTAACTAATAATTTGTTGTCAGAACCAAGAAGTCGCCAGAACAAGCTGTTCTGTGCTTGAGCTGACGCATTCGTTCTAAAAACAAAACCACGCATTTAGCTCCTGCAGCGATACGTGCTTTATTTTAGCAACCAACTCTTGGCTGGGACACCTGAATATTCGTTACCGCAGCTAATATTTATCGATCGTCCCGAAATCAACTAATTATTATTCCGATGACTAATTCCTTGCGGTTAAAAGGACCTCTTCTTTCCCAGTCGCGTCACTTGAACACCATCGCGTCCCTTGATTATCGCCCACGTTTGTGGAGCGCTCGTTTTAATGTGAACGCGTCGGCCGCTACAGAAAGTCGAGCGGCGCTCTTTGATGTCGCTGCGGCGAGCCTGGAGCTGCTGCGGCTGGGCTTGGGGCCGGGCCTGCGGCCGGGCTGCAGGCCTGCGGGATATGCCCGGCATGTTGCTTTTCATTTCTTGCCCCGCCCCGCCC